TCAATTTTTCAACTTAATTCATGGGTTAACCCCTTTAGAAAAATCACTACTATGGTGACTCTGTAAAATGGACATTCTTCTTAGTCTGGAAAGCCTTGTCTTCTATCTAGAACATTAGCAAACAATATTTGTAGCTCTATTTTGACCAAAAACAAAGGAAAGTCAGATTTCAAATTTTCAACTTAAACCATGGGTTAAGCCCTTTGGAAAAATCACTAATGTGGCGACTCTGTAAAATAGACATTTTTAGAGTCTGGAAAGCCTTTCCTTCTATCTAGAACATCATTAAACAATGTTTCTAGCTCTATTTTGACCAAAAACAAAGAAAGACCAAATTTCAATTTTTTGACTTAAACCTTAGGTTAACCCCTTTGGAAAAATCACTAATATGGCGACTCTGTAAAATGGACATTCTTCTTAGTCTGGAAAGCCTTTCTTTCTATCTAGAACATCAGCAAACAATATTTCTAGGTCTATTTTGTCTAAAAACAAGCAAAGATCAAATTTCAATTTTTCAACTTAATTCATGGGTTAACCCCTTTAGAAAAATCACTACTATGGTGACTCTGTAAAATGGACATTCTTCTTATTCTGTAAAGCCTTTCTTTCTATGTAGAACATCAGCAAACAATATTTCTAGGTCTATTTTGATAAAAAAAAAAACAAAGAAAGATCAAATTTCAAATTTACAACTTGAACCATGGGTTAACCCCTTTAGAAAATTGCTATTATGTTATGTCTGTAAAACGGACTTTTTTCAGTCTGGAAAGCCTTTTTTTCTATCTAGAACATCAGCACACAATATTTCTAGGACTATTCAGACCCAAAACAAAGAAAGATCAAATTTTAATTTTTTAACTTAAACCATGGATTAACCTTCACAGCGGTCAAACGAGTGAAATTTGCAAAAGTTAAGCGAAATACTTCAAAGTTAAGGTTGCTACTTTCACTATCGAAAGTTTAAGGTATTACCAACATCCTGTTAGTTTACTCAACTTTTTAAAAGTTTACTAAAAAAGTTTTAAGTGATTGAAAACCGATGCTGACGTTATTATCGGCGCCATTTTCAAACATGATTCGCTTTTAGCGTGAAGCGTTTTCAGCGAAAAAAGCTCAAAATTTTGAGAAAAATGGAAACATAGTTATGTTGACTAACTGATTTATACATCTTTGCCCATTTTTCTCTAACTGGTAAATGAAATCCCAGCAATAAAAAACAAAAATAGCGATTTAGACGTTTGACCGCGGTGGTGGATTAGGCCCTTTGGAAAAATCACTACTATGACGACTCTGTAAAACAGACATTCTTCTTAGACTGGAAAACCTTTCTTTCTATCTAGAACATCAGCAAACAATATTTCTTGGTCTATTTTGACCAAAAACAAAGAAAGATCAAATTTCAATTTTTTAATGTAAACCAGGGGTAACCCGTTCAAAAAAATCGTTAATATGGCAATTCTGTAATAATTATGGACATTCGTCTGGTCTGGAAAGCCTTTGTTTCTATCTAGAACATTAGCAAAGAATATTTCCAGGTCTATTTTGCCCTCTTTTGACAAAAAACAAGTACAGGTCAAATTTGAAATTTCAACTTGAACCACGGTTAACCCAAGAGCCACTATGGGACAGAGAGGGTTCTTAAGGCGTCGGCCAGGATATGTTAATGTCACTAAAGTTTGTTTAGAGGTTGTAATTACACGGAAGTCCAATTCCTGAGACATCTGCTCATTTTAATCGATTGTTTTAAATGTCATCAAGTCCACACCCAACTGCCTCAGAGCAAACAATGCAAAATATTGTAATAGCAACTGTTGAATATTGAACATGCATGACCCTTTCGAGTGAAAGTAAAAGCCAACTGTTTATAGCTTAATGCTAATAACAGTTCGATGAACGGCACATTGATACCCCAACACATACTTAAACGGAAAAGAGTAATACAACAATATTTTGAGCCTAAAATTGGGAGAACAATAAGAATATTCATAATGGGCCAGAAAAACGACTTTCTTCCAAAAAAGAAAAGAGTGCAGTCAACCATTTAAGAGGATGACAAGACTCAATATGAGAAGTTAATCTGAATACTTGTATAAACAAAAGAGAAATAATAAAAATAGAAACAATCCTTGACGTGGTACACATGGAAAAAATACTAAACCGAAGGAGATTTTCCAAATCAAACATTTCTTTACAATTTCTTTAATTAAAATGAGATATGGCCTCTCATAAAAAGCCAGCCGTTGCTAAGGGGAATTGTGATAGTATATATTATAAACGACCTTTCTCAAAAAGAAATTCCTTACGTAATGTACACATACCAGCCAAACTGTAAAACTCGACGATACAACAGTTCAACCAAAAGCAGACGTCTGTGGTCAGTCAGGATTCAGGATTTCAAATCTCCACCTAATAATTTGAGCTCCAATTATGCACATCTTCGCTTTGACCTGGAAAGACTGAATAAAAGTCAAAGCCTACAAAGCCCAGTGTTGTGGCCGATCTAAAACAGCAACACTAGAGACAATGAAGGAAACAGGTTAGAAATCTGAGAATAAAATGTGCTCAACCATCACCTGTAGAAATAAAAGGAAACTAGAAAGTTAGAATATGTTTTTGCTTTCAAAAGAATCTCAATGAGAGGGGTATCTTATGGTTATTATATCTCCAGTATGAGTTTCCAATTTGAAAAGTACCAAAAGAAGTTAGCATAAGGTTCCAATTGAAAAAGTACCTGAATTAGCGTGGTATCCCTACGTCTTCTCTGTTCCCTGATTTATTGTGTAAATTCGCTTTGAGTGTCAAAAAAATACGTTGAGCTTCAATTTTCACAAAAAAAATGTTCAGGATTCCGTTGTCCACGTTAATAATTTTGGATTGGTATCCCTACGTTTCTCTGTTAACTGATTTATTGTGGAAATTCGGTTTGATTGTCAGCGGTTTACGCAAAATACGTTTCAACACCTATACACCGCTTCGAATTTTCACAAAAAAATCAGTTCCCAAACAAACCAGGATTCCCGTTGTCCACGTTAATAATTTTGGATTGGTATCCCTACGTTTCTCTGTTAACTGATTTATTGTGTAAATTCGGTTTGAGTGTCAGCGGTTTACGCAAAATACGTTTCAACACCTATACACCCCTTCGAATTTCCACAAAAAAATCAATTCCCAAAGAAACCAGGATTCCCAGTTTGTCCGCTCTGATAATTTTACATCGGAGTAAAGTGGACCTCCTTCTCTTTAAAAAAAGAAAGCGGAAAAAATAGAATCATAGTCAATAGAGTTTGCTTGGCAATCCCAAAGCGTCCTACCATCACCTGTAGAGATAGGAAGAAACTAAGAAGTTAGCATAAGGTTACAATTTGAAAAGCACACGAATTAGCATGGTATCCCTACGTTTCTCTGTTAACTGATTTATTGTGTAAATTCGGTTTGAGTGTCAGCGGTTTACGCAAAATACGTTTCAACACCTATACACCGCTTCGAATTTTCACAAAAAAATCAGTTCCCAAACAAACCAGGATTCCCGTTGTCCATGTTAATAATTTTGGATTGGTATCCCTACGTTTCTCTGTTAACTGATTTATTGTGTAAATTCGGTTTGAGTGTCAGCGGTTTACGCAAAATACGTTTCAACGCCTATACACCCCGTCGAATTTCCACAAAAAATCAGTTCCCAAACAAACCAGGATTCCCGTTGTCCACGTTAATAATTTTGGATTGGTATCCCTACGTTTCTCTGTTAACTGATTTATTGTGTAAATTCGGTTTGAGTGTCAGCGGTTTACGCAAAATACGTTTCAACACCTATACACCCCTTCGAATTTCCACAAAAAAATCAATTCCCAAAGAAACCAGGATTCCCAGTTTGTCCGCTCTGATAATTTTACATCGGAGTAAAGTGGATCTCCTTCTCTTTAAAAAAAGAAAGCGGAAAAAATAGAATCATAGTCAATAGAGTTTGCTTGGCAATCCCAAAGCGTCCTACCATCACCTGTAGAGACAGGAAGAAACTAAGAAGTTAGCATAAGGTTACAATTTGAAAAGCACGCGAATTAGCATGGTATCCCTACGTTTCTCTGTTAACTGATTTACTGTGTAAATTCGGTTTGAGTGTCAGCGGTTTACGCAAAATACGTTTCAACACCTATACACCACGTCGAATTTCCACAAAAAATCAGTTCCCAAACAAACCAGGATTCCCGTTGTCCACGTCACTAATTTTGGATTGGTATCCCTACGTTTCTCTGTTAACTGATTTATTGTGTAAATTCGGTTTGAGTGTCAGCGGTTTACGCAAAATGCGTTTCAACACCTATACACCCCGTTGAATTTCCACAAAAAATCAGTTCCCAAACAAACCAGGATTCCTGTTGTCCACGTTACTAATTTTGGATTGGTATCCCTACGTTTCTCTGTTAACTGATTTATTGTGTAAATTCGGTTTGAGTGTCAGCGGTTTACGCAAAATACGTTTCAACACCTATACACCCCTTCGAGTTTCCACAAAAAAATCAGTTCCCAAAGAAACCAGGATTCCCATTGTCCGCTCTGATAATTTTAGATCGGAGTAATGTGGACCTCCTTCTCTTTAAAAAAGAAAGCGGAAAAGATAGAATCATGGTCAATAGAGTTTGCTTGGCAATCCCAAAACGTGCTACCATCACCTGTAGAGATAGGAAGAAACAAAGATGTTAGCATAAGGTTCCAATTTGAAAAGCACCCGAATTAGCGTGGTATCCCTACATTTTTCTGTTCCCTGATTTATTGTGTAATATTGGTTTGAGTGTCAGTGGTCAATGTCTATACACTCAGTCTCAACGTCTATACACTCAGTCAAATTTCCACAAAAAAAATCAGTTCCTAAACAAACCAGGATTCCCATTGTCTGCATTGATAATTTTAGATTGGGGTAACCTTGATCTTCTCTATAATAGAAAGAGATTAAAGGTAAAAAGGCCAGAAAACTAGGAAGCTGAAGACTTGCAAACTCAAAGCACTCACTTGTTGATGCCGAGAGTGAAATTCCTGCTAAGAACTCCCAGGAACAGAAGCTTTGATATCAATTCCTGCGGTTTGGCAGCGACAGGAACTCTGAAATAATAACGAAAAGTTGAAATACACATTGCACATCTATTGATAGATGCTAATCGGGGTTTGAAGGATTTTTTGTAGCCGTCGATGATTTTTCACTCCAGAGATAATTGTCTGTTGCATCATTTCCGACACAGTACTAACAAAGTACATGGCAGATAATAATGAGATCAGTATTAGGTATGTACGTTTACTTAATTACACATTTTACCCTCGACGCGATCTGCCACACAAATTACCCACGACTTGCTCCACGCAGGGTTCACGGCATAATCAGTAGAGCAAAAACAGATCCAACTTGGAGATCGTCCGTGGGTGCCAATCATGCCGAGGTCAAAACACTTTCTCTTTGCCTCGTGTGGTCCCCAAATTCCTTTTACTTGGTGTAACGCTTATTGGGACTTATGGGTTGAACCTACCAGAAGTTGGAAAGGTATTAGTTCCTTCCATCCCTGTCAACCTTCCTCATATGGACATCTTGGTTGAATTCTGATACAACTTTCAACTGGACATGTATCATTTCCCTTTCCCAGCATTTTACTCCTACAAAAAAACACAGTATAACATGAACGTTATCCTGGAGAAATAATGGTTACAAAAATCAGTAGTACTGTTTACTGAATCAGTAGCCAATATGAGATTTGCATTTGTCTTTTTTATAACAAGGTTGCTTTGCTTGCAGAATTTTAAAACTCTTTTATCCCTCTACCGCCTCCCTTTGGCAAGTGTAATGTGTAGTTGCAGAAAATATCCATAAGGGCAATGGAAATTCTGGGGGAGGGGGGGGGGGGGGTGTCAAAAAGGAGGCAATTTCCAAGGGAGTCGGGGGTTGCTTACAGAGGTCTTTTTCCAGGGAGTTTGAGTAAGATTGGTCAATTAATAATAAATAGCAGCTTCTCTGTTGAGAAAGCTATCAGTTATTTACTGTTACCGTAAAGTAAAAGTTCCCTCTGTGGGGGGTATGGATATTTTTTCTGGAACTGCACAATAATAGATGTGTTCAGTATTTTACTGACTGCTTCAATGTATGTGGTGTCTTGAGTGATCGCTTCTTGCAAGGTTCCTATGGATGTACATGTTTACGTGGTAATTATTTTTTTATCTCAGGTAATTTTTATTTTTCCACTTCATTAGCAACATTGCCATACCCAAAAACAAAAGAAAAACAAAATTTGCCTGAGATATATAAAAAATTAACTACAACATATACATAAATTGGTTTATTAAAGAGTGAATGGTTTTAAAACATTTGCATCATGCATTCTGCTTGGTATTGAGGCAACAACAGCAAATTTGTCTTCAAGATAACATGTAGTAGCAACAGCTGTGAGGCGGGGGGTTTGCATTGTTACCTACCTGTTCAGATGATTAAGGCAAGCTTTCGGTTCAGGTTTTCATTCCCCCAGGTGCCCTCTGAGAATTACAATGAGTGCTTCATGTTCAATTTGCCATGCACAGACATTTTTCTGGAAAATTAAATATGTTTTACTACCAGACAATAACTTCTACTTACACTGCAGTAGTAAGTTACAGTGACTAACAGTATTATAATAATATAATACGTTTTAAGGTAACTTAGGTTTCTGTGTTGCATTTGTTCTGTTTATCAAGAGAATTACTCTAGTTGACTGATTTGTTGCTAGAAATAATACTGTTAATTGTTTGAAAGCTGGTTATCCAGGGAAGGAAAAAAAAAATAAAATCCACTTGTCCAGTGGACAATAAAATTTCAGTTTTTACTTAATATTAATAGTAATATTACTTGCACAAAGGTAACACAATGCCTTTTCATCTGTACAAAATAATGTGGTTCTAACTACATTGTTGTCTGTATTAAGTCATACCTGTAAATATTTGAGCAAAATTAAAGGATTAATAACTTAATGAGGGTAATTGCACAGTGGAACCACGGGTAATCCAGGCTCACTATTTGTGTCACATACGGGTTTCATATAGCATGAGTAAATATAGAGAACATACAGGGCAAAGTTTAGGTCTGGAAATTTGTTAGAAAATGGAAATAAAAATCAACGAAACTTACCATGCGGCAAGTTGTTGTTGTCCTTTATATGCACATGAAGTTTCGGGAAAAATAGTCTCCTTCATCTTTCCTACATAGTATAGTGACAAGGTAGGAGGCTGACAATAGTGTTGGGACTCCGATCAAGCCCAAAAAAGCACGATTTTTTTTTCGTGAAAATCGAATCCAGTTGACAACTGGTCCAATTCAAAAATGTCATTGAGCTCGAGGTGCCTGGTGACAAGTATAATAATTACGTCCCCGTGGAGGAAAGGGTGCAGTCGGACGGTGAGTGGTACTCCCTTCCGTCCATGGGGACTCATTATACTTGTCACCAGGCATCCCGAGCTCAGTTGGACCAGTTGTGATTCTAACGGCTTCTGGCTGTCATTTTAATAGGTAAACACATAAGTTCTACAGAAACTACTGGCTTAGCGTTGCTAGCTGGAGTCAGGGTTTAGAGAAATTCATGTTCCACGAGCCTGGCGTGTTTATTTAGCAAATGGATTCGATTTTTGCGAAGAAAATCATGCTGGTTTGGGGTCCATCAGAGCCCCAGTGCTGCCGTCAGCCTCCTACCTTGTCACTATACTATGTAGGAAAGATGAAGGAGACTATTTTTTCCGAAACTTTGTGTGCATATAAAGGACAACAACAACTCACCACAAGGTAAGTTTCATCAATTTTTATTTCCATTTTCTAGCAAATTTCCAGACCTAAACTTCACCCCATAAGCTCTCTCATAAATCTCAAAGATATTTTCTCTAAAAATAAACTTGCTTAAATGTGAGCACAATTACTGGCACCACACACTGTAAATGTTTTACTATTAAAGGAATAGTGAAAAAAGCTCGACGGATGGTTTTTACCAATTCACCTCACATATGTGTAAGGCACATGTGAAAAATGAGCAAAGAAAGACAAAAATCGTGTAGAAAATAAGAAGATAAAAACAATGCTTGAAAACTTATTTCCCTGCAATGATAACAAGCTGAAAACCTTTTAATTATAGCACGTTTACCCCATAAGCTTAATTTTAACCATTAAATATGATGTCGTATTCGTTTGGCTTTTGTCTTTGTTAGTCAAATGCCAGTTTAGACCTCTTACTTTAACCTTACCTGCTCACATGGCCCAGGTAGTTGTCGCTGTGCAGCTAAACTGGACACAGAATTAACGTGAAGTACTGAAAAAACAAATAACAAATAACTTATGTCAGCTTATGTTGAAAAACTGTCTCGTTTCTTAAACCCCACATGAAACATTTCAAGTGTTAAACCGTTTTTGCGGTCAGTTAAGCACCTTTTTTAATTGTACGTTTCCCTTTTGAAGGGTAGACTTGAATCCGTACAAAAACCTCTGTAAAAAATACGAAACCTTTTCCATCCACCGACTTCTCCGCCATTTGCTTGTTCTTTGCTTGTACCACGTGTACGGCGTTTTCCCAGGATCTTCGTTTGGACCACGTGACCCGAGACGCTCAGGCCGCGCGGGAATAATAATGAGGCCCAGGAACTAGTTGAGGAACAAGGCAACTTAGGGGCGGACCATTTAACTCTTCAGGCGGGGGTGGGTGATTTTGAAAAAAAAATTTCCTGCAAGCGCTTGTCGGAAGAAAATAATTGTATGCAGCACAAATGTAATAGAAAGCTTATGGGGAAAAAAGGGAAAAAAATATCCCGCCCACCAGATTGCTAGAAAAAAAAAATTCTTGACGACCAGAAATCACCCACCCCTCCCTCAAGAGGTAAATGGTCGGCCCCTTAGTTGGAAGTTCTTGGCTTAGTTCTCGGTTATCAGTCTGGCCGAGAGTTAGCCGAGAGCCGGCCGAGAGTTTCACAACAAGGATACTACACCCCCTCCCATCCCACACCACGCAATAAAGGCTACAATGAAAAGGTATGTCCCAAAAGATGAAAAAAGGAGGGAGAGGTAGAATACCATGACAAAAATTAATCTTTGTCTTGCATGGGGTTGTAAGGCTGTCACATACGGCGTTTTTCTGGTATGTGAGTTTGTCTTCTGAGAACTCTCGCAAACGCAACGGCAACGGTAGTAAGCCGCAAAATAAGTCGAGCAAGATTTCCCCTGCAGAAGTCAACTTATCGTAGTCTTTAATATCCATGGACAAAACCTAACTGAAAAGTGGAAACGCAGCAAATAATACTAACTCAAGCCCTGAATAGAGCTGAAGTTTATAAAATATTGCGTTCTAGCCTGGGACCAGGCTCCTCAGTCTGGGAAAAAGCGGTAAAAACGGGGTCAAATAGCAAATAGGAAAAAATATCGGCGAGCGAGCTTTTTCCCACAATGCGGAGCCTGGTCCCAGGCTAATTGCGTTCGTTTTCAGTTGTTAGATGCAGAAAACTAAGCTATAAAGATTTCAGTTTTGGTTGGACCAGGAGCCGATTTTCTCACAATGTAGAGCCTGGTCCCAGGCTACTGGGGTGCACGTGCTTCCACGAGATCGAGGCAAGTAAGGGTGAGGTTGTATAGCCACATCCTTGGTAGCAACAGCCAATTTGCAAATTCAAATATGGGCTGTGTTCAAGTGATTTTGGTATACTTGATAACGGGCTGTTCTCCCATCAGCTGTCCCATCATGTCCAATTCTAAATGCACCCCTAGTAACCGGTATGTGGTATCCAAATTAGCGGCAGACTCACAGAGGACGGAGACAAAGAAAAAAATCGTTTGACTTAGGTGGGACTTAATAAGATAACACCCTCCTAGATTTGCAAAATCTGCAAATCACATTCAACCTCATCTAGAGGCATTATAAACATCTTAGCCATGCACGCGCCTCAGATTCGTCCACAGCATCGCTTTGTGAGGAATCAATCAATCAACCAATCAATAAATTTAACAATTCTTTATTAATTCAGACATGGTAATTACTAGAATTATCACAACAAGTCAGTCTGTCGTTGCTTACACAATTTACTCCGCATTTCATCAAGTCCACTTCTCCTTGACAAGTTAATTTTTTGATTAAGCAATTTTAAAAAACGTTCTCACCATGAAGACTGGCGTTGAGCGACGTTAATTTTGCAAGCCAAGTAAATGAAATGAAATGAGAACTTTATTTTGGTGTCGATATCTTAATTTTTGCAGCTAATCAAGAAACAACTTTAAACAATTCCCTAATAAAACGAGGTAAAATCATAGAGCATATACATTCTTTGTATCTTCCTAGCACTAGAATTATTTAAACCTATTGATGTTCTTTTGTGGATACACAATTATTTCCGATTCTATTTCTTAAGTCTTCATTGTTTCGACCACATTTTTGGCCCAAAAGTGAAAAACGATTTCTTTACTTAGCCAGATTCTTGTGGCCCTTAAACGGTAGCAGTAGTCACTTTTCACCGTAACTCATCCATGAAATTATAATTCTGTAGGTTTGCCTGTTCAGACCAGGCTGCGTGTCTTGCTCCGTCCATCTCAGGTGCCAATTCATTTCCCTCTTCAAGTGCATGATTCGCTCCACCAATCACAGCCCCGCATTCATTACACCTGCTTCTCTCCATAGCACCACCGCAATCACCAATAGCGTAGACGTGTCCCTTGGGACACCTGAACCAGTGACCTTGCGACAAACCCATGGCTTCCACGATCTGTTTTTTCTCCTCTTGTGTCAAAGGATTAAGAGCCGAGTACGCTCTCCTATTAAAAAGAACATGTTTTATTAATGACAATCAACAATTAAAGGCTATAAAAAGATAGACGAAAAAGCAATCCAATAAAAAGTGAAAGTAAAATCAGTCGAAGAATTCTCACATCCTTTTTCCCGCGCGTTCCGCTGACTCCTTGTGCTTTGGCTTCCAGTTAGATATAACTGGTTCACTCGACTTACTGAGTCAGCTGTGATACGATTGGGCTGAGTAGATATGCTTATTTTGGTTGTACGTACTGGATAAAACTCACACTACTTAAAGAAATATTGGTTTATCGAAGATATTTTTGTCATGATATATTTCGTTAGCCCTTGTTTTTTCCCTTAATGAATCAACCTACAATCATCGTCGGAAGACTGCTACTTTTTAGCCCTTTTTTCCTCCTTCCCCCCCTCCCCCCGCCCGTGGTGGCCTAAAGTTGAGCAAAACGTTTTAATGTTTGTGCACGTAATTGTTCTGTTATATCCTAACATTGAATAATGGGGATGGGAGATTTTTAACAAAAGAGAAAACTCTCTTTTTTGAGGATTAAAATGGACTACTGTTAAGAAGTACAACCTTCCCAACTAGTTTTGTCCGGAATTGTAGTCTGATAGACTAATTCTTTTATTACAAATGTATCTAATTTAATTTAATTTAATCAAATATTTATTATGTAAGAATACATAAAAGGAAACGTCAGAGGTTATCCCTATCGAGGACGCTCCCTACATAAAATATAAATTACTTGTATTCTGGGTAGAACGTATTTCGTAGAGCGCTCAATTCATTTACTTGAAGAGCATTCAAAACTCTAGAGTAACGTAACTAAGACACAATCCATCTGTTACCTAGATACTATCTTTTAACGCATCCCTATATTTCACTGCCAGCTTTTAATTTTAACGCACCGTAATTTTTAGGGAGTTATTATAACTCCAAAAATGGAGTAAAAATTTTAGTTACAGGATAACCCCTTTTTTGGGGTTATTTTAACTCCTAATTTAACTCCGAATTTGGGGTCATTTTTACTCCTGAAAAAGAGTTCTTTTTACTCCCGGTCTTGGAGTTAAAATTACTCCGAAATGGGGTTACTTGTACTCCTTACAGGGGTTGTTTTTACTCTTTTTGGAGTTAATTTAACTCTGAAAGTGGAGTAAAAATTTTAGGTACAGGATAACTCCTTTTTTGGGGTTATTTTAACTCCTCAATATCTGGGGTCACTTTTACTCCTGAAAAAGAGTTCTTTAAACTCCTTTTTGGAGTTAAAATAACTCCACGAAAAATAACTCCACTGTAAGGAGTTAAATTAGCCCCACTAGAGGAGTTATTATAACTCCCTGAAAATTACAGTGCGGTCAATCGTTGAAGTTGCCTGATGAGTGTGATCCTACAACTTCGGACCATACGAAACAACACTTACTCCTGAAGCCTGAACTCCTGTGATCATTAATAAAATGTAAATTAAATATATTACAATGTAAAATTTAACAATAATTAAGAAATGGCTAAAAAAAAATTATCGTGCAATATATGAACAATTGACGATCATCTCTGTTCGGACTGCTTAAGCACAATACTTTTGAATAGTGTTGCCATGACATAAAATAAGACAGACTGACGAACCAGTCAACACTATTTATACCTTACCTAATGGCTGCAATATTATTCATCATCTCATCAAGCCTCTCATCTTCTATGCGTTTGCCGCTGGACAGTGCTTCACGTACGGTAGTTATCATGTCGCAGAAAGACTGATCTACCTCGACTTTCTCGACTGCGATATCATGACTAAGTAAACACAGTTCAAGATGGAGGCTTAATCTTGAGAACTCTGTGTTAACGTGTTGGAGTTCTTTTGTCGTCGATGTTCCCGCCATGAAACGCTTTAAGAGATAAGCCAGGTCATTTGCAACTTGGCGCCCTGTTGAAATAACGCAATAGATATAATTAGAAAATACAATAAATTTAAAATCGGCGACAAAATTGTTGATTACTATTCATCCTACAGGTAAAAAATAAATGGAAACTAAATGCTATGTTTTTTTCCTTGAAGTGTACTTGGCTTCTTTGACTAGTTTAGACAATCCAGTCAAATAATTTAAAGCAAATAGTCCAAATCCCAGCTGGCAGGAAGCAATCAGTTTCTTACTTACAAGCATGGCAAAGAAACTCGGGACGATAGCAAACAAGTTACACTGGTCAGAGGGAAAGGACTCTTACCGGTGATCCCCGTATTGCTAGTCTGACGTGCTGGCAATTCGCGATCGCCTATACTGCCTCCCTACCAGTCCGGTAACGTACCCAAATGAAAGCCCCTTCCCCCCTTCTCCATTGCGCCCCAGTCCGTCGCAGTCCAAGGGTCTTCTGTCTAGCGAAAGAACATTGTTTAAGAAGGTGGGGGAGGGGCGGGGGGAGGATCCAAAGCATCCTTGTTGATTTCAGTCCAATTTTATCTCTTAGAAAGTGGACAAGATGTGTTTCGGCTTAAGTGTTTCAACTAACTTTCGGGGAATGTAGAGATTGATATACACTAAAAATTTGTCGTCAAAAAATCACGTTTCAAATGACCTACCATTAAAAAAATTTGCTCTGCATATTTCTTCTGGAAGCACTTTTAGATATTTTCCTGCTTTTTCAGTCATTAAGCAGTAGCGTTCCATCAGCATAATTTTGTTTTCAAGAAGAGGATATTTAAGCCCATTTTTCATCTTCTCAACTCTTTGCTTCAGCGTTTCCCAGACATGTTGGTAGTTTTCTGCATTGAACTTTTCTGACAAAGTAGTTACCCGACCCATCAGAAACCGTTTCTTGTTTGATAATCCAAAATTGGCTTCGACGATTATTTTTCTCTTCACTTTCTCTATATCTCGAAGCCGCCTCTTAATGACGTTACCATATCGCAGGCTACAGCGGATAGGCGTCCTACAACGAGGGCATGTTTTTAATTGAATCACTTGACTTTCGGCCGAGTCATTCTCTGACATGTCCATATACCTGAAACCCAAAAAATAAACACCAACTTGACGTTATTCCTCAACAACTAACGTTGTCGCTATCATCAACCAGTGCAGCACTGCGTTTGTTGGATAAACAAAATAAATCGGCTTTTGTTGGTAAGGTTGATCCTGTTCCCACTACCTAGCCGGGCAAATAGTAGGTATTAATTTAGGACTGGTCATATGATGAAGCAGTCTATGAAGTGGATTCTTGGGGTGGGAGCAAGGAATATTGAATAGCCTTTTGAAGGATTCATCCGCATCTTTACATCACCGAAAAGAAGGAGGTAAAGGTTAATTCTTCACTCAGGCCAAGTGAGCCCGCAGGCCAAAGCTACTTCGATGCCCTCCCGTCCTTTGCGGTAATGCTAGTCCATCACTGGGTAACTTCCCATTAAATATATAAGTTCACATTAGCAAGCTTGGGTGGATTTGACACTGTGCGAGTGATGTGTCTTGCCAAGAACAAAGACAGACCTAGAGAATTACGTTGTCTGAACAAGATGTGAAAACAAGCTGAAATGTCTGAAATGGCTTTCAGTTAAATGTAGGCATTAACCATTTGTATGTTCTGCTCGCACCTCCGCAGAGAAGGGAGACGCCCGTTTAAAACAGACTGGGTGATCATGGGTATACTTTTACAAGGAACTCTAAGGTACTGGATCTTCGCTTTGAGAAACGTGGCTCTAATGCGTCTTGCCTATCACATCAACACCGTTAACAATCTTAAAATACATCTGGATCGCTCTAACTTAAATCGCCTCAAGGTTTATCACGATAAATTTTAAAGAGATTGTGGACGTTAAGTAAAAGAGCCCGTCTCAATAACTATGCGCGGCATAAAAGTTCAAGTAGTGCAAACTTGGATGAGAGAATTATCCTCACTTGAACTGCGATGACTACAGCTATTAATGTAAGATCAACCTCTACGTAGGGTACTACATACCTGTCAAGATCAGACACTGCAAAGATGTGTCCACAGTCTGGCAGCTTCATAAATCGTGCGTCCTCATCTTCCTCTCCACCTAAGAAGATTGTCGTGATGGGATCGACACCGTCATTTTTGTCGCACACTGTACAGATGCATTCCTTCTGGCACTCTAAACCACGACAAACATGATAGCACGGGAGAATTTTTTGGCAGGGTTGGTTACATCGTGGCCTATCACACATCTCATGGCACCTCTTGAAACACTTGTGATGGAGACATTCCCAAGAACACGGCTCGCGACATGGTACACATAAATGTCCACACATATCCGTACATTTACTGTGTACACAACGGTTTTCGCAGGTTTTTAAACAAGGTGGACATGGCACAGCGCATGTTTCTTTGCACACATGTGAACAGACCAACACACGACCGCACCTTAATTTGCATCGTTGGTGTATTCGACCCATTCGACACTCGCCACACTTTCCTGGGCACGTGTGACCACAGTCCAACTTGGCTCTACATGGAACTGGGCAGTCAGAGGGGGTGGCTGAACAGGCAACAGTAACTTCATGTCCACAGGGCCAATCAGTTCGCTTCACAAGCTCCATACATTCAGTGCTACATGGACGTTGGCAATAGTTTTGGCAGCGATGATTGCAAGACAAAATGTTGCTACATCTTTCTTTGCAAGGAATTCTGTTGAGATCAGTGAAGCATTCTACTTGTGTGATGTGGCCACAATTAGGCAAAGCTTTCTCTACAATCACCTTACATTGCATTTCACAAGGCTCACTACAACGATTTGGACACGTATGAGTGCAACCTTCAATGTTTCTTCCACATGGCTCCCCGCAGACGTACTTCGTATGTTTAGGGTCACCTGGATGGCATAGGAGTTTGCAGGCGTGACCGCATCTCAGACGTACCTCACATCTCCGTTGACATCCCCCGTCAGGAACTTTTTCACCGAAATCTTTTGCTGTTTCAGCTGCCACTTCACCTTTGTGGGTTTCACAAACAAGGGGCAAGGCGTTTCCGATGCTGTCACTCGTTTTTAAATCCGCCACTATCTTGCTCCAGATCTCACTGTGCTTAGAAAGAAGATCAAAGTTTCCAATGCAGTAGAACCCCTTCTTGGCACGGGAGAGCGCCACGCATGCGCGGTTCACAATCTTGATGAAACCAACTTTTTCGTTCTTGTTACTCCGCACTAGGGAGAGGAGGATGATGTCATTTTCTTCTCCTTGAAAGTTGTCAACGGTTGTCAGGCGAACACCTTTGAATTCTTCGCTGTTTTGCTGTTTGATGCAGTCCTTAATTGCAAACACCTGTCCAGTGTAGGTGGTCATTAATGTTATTTGTCCAGCACTGTAGCCTTGTTGAAGTAAGTATCGACACAGGGCAACCAGGAATGCAGCTTCGTGCTCGTTAGAGTGACTGTGCGATTCATCATTACTGTTTTCCAAATGACTGTGGTTGACAAAGAACATGTTCTTCTTAATTCCTTTAATGTCTTCATATTCTTTCACTGACTCGTGATTCTCAAGATCTGGGTAAATGTGCTTTAACAGAGCGGCAATTTCAGGCCTCATGCGATGTTGAACAGATAGCTTTTCGCACGAAATTCCAACTTTTACCATTCTCTCGAACAACGACACATCCAGATCGTACTTCGTAGCCAATTCATAGACAGTGGGGTTGGGTCTAAGTTGCTGATGATCGCCGATCAGAATCAAGTGCTGGCATCCTTTCGACAATGACGTTATAAGATGAGCCTCCAACACTTCAGCAGCTTCTTCAACCAGAACGATTTTCGGGGAAATCCGCTGCAGAATGTGACGGTACCTTGCAGCGCACGTAGTTGTCATGCCAATGACACGTGCCTGTCGAAGAACATCGTATTCTATCATGGTGTCCAATTCTTTGTCACGAGAAAGAGCTTCTTCGAACTCTACTTGACAACTTTGCAAATTTTCCTGTTGCTTTTTTTCTAGCCTTTGACACCACAGTCTGTATAACCTCCACCGGTCTCGTCTGTTCAGCTTGATAAGAGAGCCAACTCGTAGCTCTTCGTGTTCATTCATTGCTTTGTCCTTGAAATTTCTTTTCATGCAATTAGGATTATCCGAGTCCTTAATCGAGAGAACGGTTATTTTCTGAAGTGTGGTCATCTTATGTCCATCGATGTCTTCTTCGTCGCTGTCAAAATCGTATCCAGGGACAGATACCTCCATCAGAATATCATCCCTGTTATCATCTTTTGCAGTCGATCTGCCATTCCTCGAGATGTCAAGCCACTCTAACAGCTGATCATTGATGGACCGTATTCCAGCCAAGGTGCAAAATTCCCTGTAGTGTCTCCTTTGTATGCACTGTTGGTCTCTAAGGAAATCTAAGGAGATGATACTTGAATTTAAGGCCTTCATCAAGAGAGACGACTGCTGAAAGGAGTGTTTTTGCATTCTGATGCCCTTTCTTGTCGTTCTTCTAGCATGGGCAACGGTTGATGCCTCCATGGTTCTAAGTAATTTTAGATTGAATGGCTTCAGAGTGATACTTTTGCTCCGCCCACCAACACGAACGATACCTGGCAAAATGATGAAAAACCTTTTTTAGAAAACTGCTGATTAAAGCAAATGTTAAGGTGAAAAATTACATTCTGCATTCGAGCCGCCATGTGGCTCATCAGATCGGAGTTTAACTCGGTTTCTGTAGCTTGAAGCGACTAAGGACACTTATCTTCTCCCTCGGACGGGATACTAGTGCATCGCCGGGTTACCCTCAGCATTAAATTCGTCGGTATCCATCACACATGGATAGAGCGAGGCAGCGTGAGAGTAAAGTGTGCTGCCCAAGAACTCAACGCAATAACCCCTGTAAGGCCTGAACCCGGACTTCCTAATACGGAAACCCAAACCGTTTTAACCACTGGATCACCCCGCTTCCCACGTAAAGAAATCATGTGTACTTTGTGACTTGTTTGTTCAGTTATTAATATTTTTTTCAGGCCTAAATTCTCGTCTTTAAAACACAGTGATCTGCCCGGCTACACCTGATGCAGTGAAAGTGACCTGAAAGTACAACGCCTGAAATACTTTAAGGGTAGTTTTTGAAGGAACGACAGTTTTGCGTGAATCAGACTTAGCAAACTACTCTCCACATATCTAATCAGCAGAGGTCGCCGTTTATGTATTTCAAATCAGCACTGAATGTCATCTAAAATCTCAAAACGTAGTGTCAGAAATCTGACATGTTATTCCTCTCTTTTCGCGGTTAAAGTGGTCTTAAAACTCTTCTGAAACCCTAGGAGTTCAATTTTTTGCATTCTTTATATTTTAGCTCAGGATCGTTATAATTTGATTGAACGAAGATATTTTTCCCATCTCACCTCGATTGGAGATTAGGCCCTCTAGGAACTGGTCCAAGGCGTGATTCGTATATGAGACCATCAGGATTGGAGAACTTCCCTCCTCGTCTCGCCAAAGTGACTTGTTATCTAGAAGTGCTTGAGCTATTTTCAATCCAACAAAGGTCTTCCCTGTCCCCGGTGGTCCTTGGATTAAAGCGAACTCTTTGGTTAGTGCCAGTTTAAACGCCCGCATCTGTGATTCGTTAAGGCCCAAACTTTCTCTATCAGGCCAATTGAAGATTTCATGAGGCATTTCGTTGTCCATAACAACGTCAGGATTACTCAAGGACTCGGTACATGCGTCTGATGACAATTCTCCGAACCCCTCTCCCGGTTGGCTGGAATCTGTCCCAAGTGCATGCTCACTGGCCACCTGTAACCTTGGTGATGTCGAACGGTGATTACTAACGAGTGTTTCTGGAGATTTCTTCTTTGCCAAAACACGATCAAATTTAAAGGTGAAAGAATTATTCTTTTCGTCACTTTCCTTTCCATGCAGCTGATACGCCGGGGGTCCAATGTCCTGACAGCATTCCACAATGTATCGCTGAAATGGAAATTCTTCAGGGTTGATCTCCTGCAGCCCTTCTAGTACGTGTCTGTAGGATTCGAAGTAAGCATCAGATTCTACCATTACAAACGTCTCTTTGCTTTGAATAAACCGATTAACTTCCGCGGCTTCAGTGTTCTCAAACCGCACTTCCAGCTGTCCATCACTAAGCCCTTCGGGATCTCGGTTTTCCACGGACGCAAAGACAAGTGTGTTGAAATCATCTGAAGACAGGCAAAGTAGAGAGCCAAACTTGAGGCGTTTAGATCTCTCCCACTTAACTCGCCTCACTTTGGAATGAGACTGGTTAAACTTGATTTTGAAGACCCTGCCTTTCCTGTTACATACAGGATATAGCACTGTTACACCATGGTATACGGAGACATCATTTGCTTGTCTAGTACTGCTTTTGGTCGGTTCTAACAAATCTTTATCCTTTGTGAGCTGCTTAATGCCATTTCTAAGTGGCATTACAAAATCCTCTTTCAGCAACCGAAACTGTACATCAAGGTAATGATCAAGGTCGTTGAACCTTCTGTCCGTAATGTTCTTACGAAGGAAAGGCCTGGAGCAAAGTAGGTCTGCCGCAGAAGGAATAACGCTTAGTTCTCTAAAATTCTGTGGGGGTTTTAACTGGGATTCCTGATCATGCCCAGACATTGCCAGGCGAATCACTTCATCTTTTAGCTCGGTTACATGTTGGAGTTTCTTTTCAAGATCGTCGGTGTTTTCGATGAGATTCTTTTCCTTTAATACGGCCAAGGAGATCCTGAGCTGCGGAATAGGAAGACTGTGCACAATGCTTTCACCCAACTTCTGAATAATGGTCAGAAAAATGGCTATAAGATCCATTATCACAGTACCAACCCCAGAATTCCCACCTAGATAGGCCATCTTGTTGATAAAACTTGAAAGAACTGTTCCAGTGAGAAACCTCTTTGCTTTAGTAGAGCGAAGGATCTTCTCTGCGTTTGCGGTCATGATGTTGTTTGATGAACACAGCATACGAAAAGAAGTTATAACAAGCTTTAACAAATCCGGTCTTATATCGTCCATGGATAAGAGTGCTTCGAACTGTTCGGCTTTTCTAGTTAATTCTAATACGGCCTTTTCTGGGAGTTCTTCTCTACAAATGCTCTCCAGCGCCTTGAATCCAATAGGCTTCGAGTCATGACCGGTCTTTTGTCCATCCTCTCCATTATTCATCCGTCGACGTTTCGGTCCCTCGTTCGCTCTCGGAACATCATCAGGCCGACGCTTTCGACTACGAAACGTATTAGGCCGTTCTGGGATCTTCCACAGTTTTCTGCGGCTACTTGACATCTAAGGAGTATCAAACCGTGTATAAAGATTAAAGTTTGCCCCAACAGCGTTGAAAAAGAAAAACAAAGAATCACTGTTAGCGGGTTTTCCTAAACCTTACTGAGAAGACATAGCTTTTTGGGTTACCTGGAAAAAAATGTACCAGAAAGTGGAAAATGTTTTAACTTTGAACTTACAGAGAATTGCGGGTTAAATAACGCCACACTCTAAATTTCAAGTTCGCTGCGGAAATTTTTATATTCTTTTGATACCACTAAGACATTCGCGTCACAAACAACATTACAACTGTTACAATGTCATATGTCACGGCACAAAAAGTCATGTATTTCACACTCATTCCACGTTAAGTGGGTAAATTACCATTTCTTGGTGTCCATGGCAAGTTTTGACGACTCAAATTGTTTTCCCATAATCATTTCGCTGAAAATACTTAAAATATGCCCAAATAAATAGCGACAGTACCCCTTTGTGCTCCTGTAGACAGTAACTTTGAGGGAATCAAGGCCAAAAGTGTCCAAAAAATGCAATTTTGCTTTGTCCGCAGAGAGGGTGTGTATAGAAGGTTACGGTATATTTGTGCTTATCGCATTATACTATGGAAACTAATCAATCCAATGTCTCGGGAGGGACCTAAACTAAAGTCCTACATGATCATTTCTCACTGCAGTTTAACTACAGTGAACTGTTGTCCGCTATTTTTATGAAACGTCCGTTACCGATCTGAGGGCAGATCACAAATGGCCTAGAAATAAATATTGCGAATGATTTACATCAGGTAAATATTACTTAAGTTTGCTCTTTTTCATACGCAATACATAAATGAAGAGCAAAAGCCTGTGGAAAGAAATTGCATCTCACAATAGCAGGATTTAGGGCGAACAGTTAAGGTTGTAACTTCCGTTACTAAGATTACAGTAGGAGAAAATGAAAAGTTGGTCGTGCTGATTTTCGTGGTGACAGAGGAGCTGGTGAGGATTATTATGGAGTATGTTTGATTTTTCCGAGTTATTAATTTCACTTAAAGATGTAACAGAAAAGGTAGAATTTTAACTTCCGTTACCAAGAATTTGTCCGGTCTCTAAAACATGGAATAAACGTTAGGTAAATTTCGGGAAATGCTGTCACACGATTGCCCCATCAAACAACTCAAGCCCTGATGACATCTGGTGAAGATTTCGTCATAAGTACATCCTCATACGTGTTCCATTGGTGAGATACCTCTCTGTCAAGTGTGATAAGAGAATTTTAGCTGAGTTTATGGTTCGCGGAGTTTTTTTGCATAGTTTAAAGAAGTTTATTTTCCTTTGAAGTCTTTCTAGGCAATTTAGGAATATAAGATGAAAATGGGACAGGCATCTTGATCATTTTAATTTTTTTTTAAAGTAACGGAGGTTACACAAAACAGGAAGTGGATTATCTGAACCTGTTTTTGCTAGTTCAACCCTCTTTTCTGTGAATGGACTTTACAATAGTCATGTATTACAAGTCTTGTACGAGTTCTAACAGATTACCATGTGTCTATTATTTTTTTTCCTTTCAATTCAATTTATTTTGCTCATTTTGTTGTTTTTAGCCTCGTTCCACCCAAAAATTCCAAAATTTCATCCAAAATTGTTTAGCATTAATTCAATTCAATAGAATAAGTCATATGCATTGTTATTTAAGACGGTCTGTAATCCCAAAAGTAAGTAGTTGGAAGAGAAATGAAATATTAACTTCCTTCTGTAACTTCTGTTACCGAAATTTATTTGATAATCACTCGTTTTCTACTAGATCACACGTTCCAAACTATAATAAAGGTAAACAACATTTTCTTTCCCTCACATTTAGCATAATAATGTTTAGTCTGACGGCTTTTTTAAAGAAAAAACATTAAAAACAGCAATTTTAAATTCTCAATATTTTGTTACGTCAGACCAAAGTACACCATGGCAGAACAACTTGACTTTTTCATTCCTTGAGCCACTGACTTGACTAAAATGTAAAACTCAGCCACGGATTTCATTTTAAACATTTTAGAGTACGCTAAATTGAAAAAAACATAGGTATAATGCAACACTGTGCTGTTTCAAGCCATACACAAAATCACACTACATGCTATTAAATAATAGGCTATAAGTTTTTATAGATAAAAGATATGTTGACCAAATTTTGGTTTCTCACCCTTCAATAATACATCTTTCGGTTAAACTAACTACTTGTCTGATTTGTTGACCTTCGATTTTTCGAAAATCCTTGGCACATTTTACCCACTTAACGTGGAATGAGTGTTCAAAGCTAATTCACATTAACAATTGCCTTGTATCTTTTTTCCAAACTTGGAACGTTTTCCGAGAATTTGAGACAAATTAAAAACCATAATCCTCGTCGATTTTCTTCGCATCAATGGAACAGTGAAGGAAACCTGATAATGAAGCTAGTACCTTTGTCGCAACCTTGATGACTCTGGCAAGTCAATGTGGAAGAGGAACTATAATTTTAGTTGTTCGACGGGATTGTATCCATTTTGGTTTAGTCTGAGAAGGTTAAAAATTCGTTTGGTCATCAAAGACATTCAGAAAATAATTCACCAACTTGCTGCATAAATTGCGTAAATTTGTGGTGTGCATGCTCGCAGTTTGTACTACAAGATTTTCAAGTCCACAAGGAAATTAAGTCAAAATTATAATCACCGCAATTAATTATGTCTTATACAATGTTTTTGAAGACTCAAGATGATCAAATCTAGTTTCTCAGAGATGGGTTAAAACTGCAGTCAATTTAATTTTTCTTATTTCTTTGCTATCATTTGTGAAATTTTCGGCTCTCATATCTCAGCAATGAGTGTGAAACAAAAGTTCTTGAATTCAAGGCTGAAAATAGTTAAAATTTTGACCGATTCCGATCGTCGGTTAGTTGAACCCGATCCAAAACTTTGCATACTGTGTCACTCTTTGGTGCATTTTGCAATTTCATGGCATGAACTGATATGAACTAGCCCTATCTGGAAAATTTGGTAGGTAAGTCAAAGTACGTTTATAGGGTTTCCACTTTGACAGAGACCCGAAACTGTTGCAGCTTACCTTGAAGGCGATTTATCTGTGCATTTTCTCAGCAAACTCTGTGAAGGAACATAGTATGCTCCTTTTATTCCAACGAGAGCTATTCCGAGAAATATTCTTCTTCCTCGGTAATTTCCCAGAAACACCCTGTGACATCACAACGACTTCAGCTGCTTTCTTTTAATTGGCTAATTTTTTTGGTTATTTTAGGTACTGTTTCTCAGAAATAGGACAAAACAACTTTTTTCGTCCTGTTTAATTTAAATAACATCTTCACTTCGTGAACCATTGCTAAAAATTTTCGACTTTTTCCATCTTGTTTTTCTCTTTATGTTTTATGTATCTAATAAGGTCTAAAATTAGCTCTAACGGAACACTTAAATTCAACTTCTTTCTTTATAAAACTAAAATCAGTATAAAACCCAACTCATTTTACGCGCTTGACCTCATCATCTCGAGTTCTCTTGACAAAGAACACTGACATCAGTCCCATTCTTCTGCTTTTCACTGAGGATTTGCTTTCGTCTTCCATAATTTACTGTCATTTTGGGTAAATCTGGGGTTTTGAAATTCTTCCGCCTCTGAAGTCGCCGCATCGTATTCATTGAGTTATTTTCATTATGGACAATAAAAGGCATGTTTGCCTGCTTCGAACGAACACACCATTAAAAGAAGTCAAGTTAACTTACATTTCAAACACCAGCTAAGTCATTTCCTTAAAGGACTACTCGAGCATTTATATATTTCTAGAACTGAAATGTGTCCAAACGCCGATTTTTTTCTGCAAAATCTGAGAGACGAGGTCCACAAACTGGCCAGTTTGTTTTACAGAGGAAAAGAAACATTTAGCTAAAGGCCCAAAATTTACATACCGGTTAAGACAAAACATTCAGCTCATCGACTTACCTTCGGGCTGATTTTTTAGTGCATTTCTTGGTAAAAATAAGAAAAACCATATGAGGAACTGTTAAGCAAGTTCCCTTGAAATGAGCTGCCGGGGCCTGTTCAAAGAATAATCAGTCTGGATTTCCGAGAAATCCCCCAATAATAACATTGCTACGTCAAGCTCTTTCATTGGCTAGAGTCTTGAGCAGCAGCCAGGTGAGCTGGGCTTGAGATCACACCCCACCCCTTGAAAATCGAATAAATCCAAGTTCAGGTAAAGGTAACTTAGGAAACTTTATTGCGAATCAGAAAATTTAATTCAATTCAATTCAATACTTTATTTTACACTATACAAGGCATTTACAAGTTGTATACAAATAGTAGGAAAACAAAAATAAATGGTAAGTAATCATTAAGCTAAAAAGAGATAATGTACATACGTGCAGTGCAGTGTCCAAGGAGTCCAAAAGAGCAAGAGCTTTCTAGTTGGACACCGTCATGTTAAGATTATGGCAGCAGAAAAGAAAAGAAAAAAACTCAAATTACATCAGTGATGGAGCATGCAAAGTAAGTAACCTATCGCTTCAATAGCCGTGTTCCGTTTTCATGTAGGCTTATAAAGAACAGAGAATTTTCCTTTTACAGTGATGAACCGAGTGCGGCTATTAACATTTTCATGATCTTCATGGTTGGCAATCGACTAACCACACTGAATACCTAACGGTCCGATTGACTTCCCAGATGGACATGTCCCCAGGAAAACCGAGTACCCACTAGAAAATTCCTCTTTACAACCCAGGCCCCCACTGCAAGCAGTACCTTTTATTCCAAGACGGCCGCCATTTTGGTTTTGAACTTGACGATAGTATTATATTACATGTTACTATTCAGAGAGTTAACAAATACTTTACTTGTGCTACTGTTACTTTCCACATACCTGTCACGATGAAAAATTATCATGGCTTCTTTTCTCTTCCTCTTGGCTTGACGATATTGATTAAAGTCTTAAATTAAGACGAATAACTTAACGCAAACTCATCCCCGTCAAAATAGCAAAAATACTGTATCGTTATGAATTGCCGCTGGTCAAAAAGAAGGTAAGAACCAGAGAGGTGGGGTTAGGGGGTGTAACAATTTTTTTGACTTGGGCTCATTTTGTACGTTTATGATCAACTTACCCCTTTCTTCGCAAGGAACATTTCTTAACTTGCATTTCTTTTTGGGTGTGAACAAGACGACTAGCTAACGTACCCAATGAGTTTCACAAGGTAGCTTCTCATTGTCGTCCCCAAAGCCAACCGGCTCTTTCAAAAGACCACGTGGCTAAAAGCAACGGAGAGCGATGGGGAAGTGATTCTACAAGAAAAATGTAGTTTGATTGAAGGTAACTTCTTGAGAAATTCCCTCCAAAAATAAAGAACAATGAAGAATGCAGTTTGAATGAGAATAACTTATGGAGAATTTCCCTCCAAAAATAAAGCAATACAAGGAATTTGTTGTACCTAATCAATCAACTCGTCCATCAATCCAACAAACACCTCTTCAATCAATGAATCAATCAATTTAATGGCAAAAAAACCAGCAGGGAGAAGCAATTGATATAAACTCATGCAAATGAAACTCATTTTCACTAGGAGGAGGTTTTGCACTTAGCCTCGTTTTGAAAGTGAGAGTATTTGGGCCAATACGCCACTTCCACGTTTCCCATAATGCACCTTATTTGCCCCCAAAAAAAAAAAAACCCCCAAAACAAAAAAAGAATGCATAAGCATTGTTTTGAGTTTCTCTTAGGTAATACACAGGAGAAATGAAAAACAAAAGTTATGCAAAATTTTGAGGAGCAAATAAGGTGCATTATGGGAAATGTGGAAGTGGCCTAATGACGTAAATGGACTAATCGCTAAAAAATGTTAGAAAGAAGGGGGACTAGCTATGTGTTGCTTTTACAATTTATTCTGCATTGAAACAAATCCACTCCTACCCTAAACAAGTTACGTCTATAATGCAATAAAGTTATGTAACGCATAGTTTTAATTGAATTGAAATGCAACATTTGTAATCTTCGAGGTTATACACAGTCTGGGCTTTGTTAAGATTGCATCTAAACTGTAGCGTTTACACTTTCACTGAATAGATAGAAAGAAAAGGAAAGAAAACATTTTCACTTCTAACACATGATAGGATGACGACGATTAACATTGTAAATCACTGCGTACCTAACAGAGCAAGTAACAAATACAAACTTACTATTATGCTTTTCTGGGGAAATGTTTACTACACTATATCATATTATTCTTTTTTATTTATATAAAAGCTTCCATTTCAGTCAAATGACAATGTCTCTGTTATTAACCTGTGACCAAGGCTAAAAATTCCAAAAATACGAAAAAATATTTGACGGAGAAACTGGAAGCTTCTGCCCCTCTCGCCTCTTTTTTTCAATTTTTCATAAATAAAACATATTAACAACAGCTGCTTAAGCAAAATAACTTTACATGTAATTGCAATAAACCAATCACCATAACTTTGTTGCATTTACATGACTGTATAATAAACTCTACAACCCCAGAGTCAAAAGAGGTTATACGAATGAAGAAAAGATCAAATCATATGGTGTGAGAATTCTGATGAAATGTCCTCAAGAACACTTGTACATGTTACTACAGCATATCTCTCTCTTTAGATACTCAACAATACATTCAACTCTCTAGAGGGACACCTGAGTTTGTTCTCTCCAAAAGGTAGACACCTTTGCAAGAGGGACACAGGGTATAAGTCCCAACATTCAAGAGGGTGGTAAGAATTGACTGTATCAAAACTGCCGGGATTTTTTTAAAGTAGTTCATCATCATAAGCAACCCTAAGAGTTTAAAAAAGATAACCCTTTAATAAACAGTGATAAACAAGTAATTTCTTCTTGTGATGTCGCTGCCAACTCCATCAGTAAGACAATGAAAGTCAATACTTAAAGGGAATTTATGGCCTAAAAAATGACAAACTTGCATTTTGATTTCAGGGATTAAAGGGTCATTGCCATATAGCTGTATGTTACAAAGCTTACGAGGCGCGTTTTGTAATATACAAATTATTGTTTTATATGTTGCATAAAAACTGTTGAAGGAAATTTGAATTGAACATTATTGACACTACAGCTAGAGAATACAGATAAACAACTTATGCATTGCTGTTTTTTAGAAATTCCTTCTCCAGATTTTGGAATTACATAAAATGCATTTGGCTTATCCTCTAATTACAGAAAAGTGATGACCATCTATTCAACCAAAAATTATTGAAATATAGAGAATTTTAAAGCAGAAGTGTTGAAAAGAAACAATGAGTAATATTTGGGAACAAAAATTATTGGAACAGAAAATTGAGTAAACTTTTGAATAACTGAAAAAATATGTGAAATTTACAATCGCACGTTTTTGGTTGGCTGGATGGCCTCCAGTTACCACCTGTTCTTTTTGTTGTTTTTCCCAACTTCAACCTTAGTCAACCAAAACAGTAAGAAAAAAATTACTGTTGACTGTTTTTCTTGGAAGTGCTTATATTATGTACGGTGGCTCGGAGACTAAAAACTAATAATGGAGGTTTGCTTTCATAAAATCCCTAAACTTGTGATAAACTTTGAGATTCTTCTTTCATACTAGTAAGCTATTCTTTACGGGTAGCATTAACTCTTTCACTCCCACACCAAGCTATGGTGGGAGTATCTATCACTGTAATGTGGACAGAATCCTATGATGTTACCATGCAAATGAAACCCCTTGGGTAAACCTTGTGTATGGTGCTATTTAATTCTTAGCATTTTACAATTTTCAAATGTTGTGAATTTTTTTTTGTGATTTGCTACCATCAGGAGTGAAAGCGTTCCGCTATGAAACGATGCCAAGCATCATTGGTGTACAACAAAGCTAAGCCACAACATTATTTTACATAACTTTTGCAGCAGTGCTTACTTTTAATAACCAAATGAAACTGAGCAAAGCGGTAACAATCTTTACAATTCCAAAGAACATTGGAGAATATAACATATTAATGACCTAAAGGAGGACGTAAATGTTAAGAGCCACCTTAATCTACTGTAAATCAATAAAGAATTCTTGTTAACTATTATCCTCTTCTGTCAGAGCATTTTGAGTTTAAAGTTAAAGCAGCAAAGAGCATTTGGGATTCTTTTTTCCATGTAGTGACCTGTACTAGAGATTCATTGCCACCACATTAATTTTTTTCCACATATGTACAACAAGGACACTGCTATTCTATAGCTTCCCTATCTTCCTTTGTACTCTTGTCTTGTTTGACCTTCTCCTGCGAAAAAACAAAATAAAACACAAGCATTAAAAATATATTACAATTTCACTTGCTGTTGAAAAATTGGCACTGTGAGAAGCACCAAGCAACTGTATGAACAGTTACCCTAAAATGTGGGGACTCGAATAACTTAACGGGTGTGCAAAAAAAGTCCCAGTTATAAACCCTCACAAAAAGGAGAATTTCACTATAGTGAGGCACTCTTAGAGGGGGCAGGTATATTCCTAGTCCAAAATTCAAAACAGGTAATTTTGCATATTGAGGAGGAGGCCACGTCGCTGTTGGTCGTCACTATTGTATTTGCAGTGGTCCTCGTCACTGTTACTATTTTAACCCATCTTCACGTTGTTTGTCAACATTTCATCTGTCTGTCTTCATGTCACTGTTTCAAGGCCATGTCACTTGTTGTAATTTTACCGTAAGAGAGCCTCACTAGTTTAGGCATACAGCTATTTTGAGAAAGGTTGTCGGAAAATACGTGCGCGCGACAATCCCGAAAGGTAATATGGGATATGATCAATATACTGTTCCTGACACTGTAGCTGTCAAACCTACTTTTGTTGCTTTCCTTTAGCACTTGCAAACATATGTCCATGGCCTATCATGTCATTCTTTCAAATTCCCTTGAAAAACAGCGAACTTAAAACCACCCACAATACCTTACGGGATTGTCAAGTGCACTTTTTCCGACAACCTTTCTCGAAATGGCTGTATATATTTTGGCTAGATTTTACAGCAGTTGTTTCTCATAAATTCTAGTGTAAAAAAGATGACATGATAACTTGCTGACGACATTGCAGTCACTGTACTGCAACTACAGAGAGCTTAAAGAGAGTCAATCTACACAAACAGCTCAACTTCCATTGACTTACATTATTCTTGGTATTGGCTTCTTTAATTGCAAGGCTTTCTTGTCTCTCTAGGATGGGAAGAAACAAACAGATGTACATATACAATGAGACAACTATAATATCCACCTGCATAAATACACTGTCAAGGCTGCTGCCTTAGTGAGGATAAAATTGGATTCTTTCGGTATTGAGCATACTGGGAGAAGGGTTACATGCAAAACTTCAGGTGAGTATGCCTTGGTTAAGGAAACTGGGTACACTGTAAACATTTGAAGTTTCAGAATCCCACTGTGAGACAAACACTCATCCAAAAACGGGAAGAGAGTTCACTTTTCATCTGTTGTAAAGGAACTGCCAGATACGTTGATCAACAGATGACTGACAAAATGTGACTACTGCCTAAAATTAAACAGTTTTTAGCTTCAATATTTGTCTCAATATGCAGTCAGATTATGCATGTCATTTTCACTATGAACAGGTTATCACTTTGCCAGAGCTCCCGCTTTGAAAAGTAATTTACAGAATTATGGCAATTATGCTTATTAATCTCAAAGTTGTTCCTACTTACCTCTAAACCTGGCTCTTTCACTTTTGTCAAAGTACCACAATGTAATAGCATATCTGAAAACAACAACAGAGTGTTTCGAGTAAATAATCTGTTCAGTTTATGTCTGAAAGGGGCCATGACACAAGAGGCTTGACAAGCCACAACCATCATTTAACATAGCACAATATTAAAAAAAGTATGACTTTGTGTACCAATCTCTGGATCAACTAATTACAAATCAGTGGGGTGATACCACAATGAAATGTAAATAAGTAGTGCTGTGTTCTGCTATTTAGTCTGATTTAAATGTTTCCAGCTATTTTTGAAGAGTGTTTTAGCTTTGACCCTTAAGACTGGAAACCCTTTAACGTGGTGCAACGTTCTAAAAACAACAAATCAGGCTTTCTAAGGTATTTCGCCACTTTGCAGCACAAATAATACGTGTTCTTTGGCCCCAAACATTTTGCATAAGAATTGTCTTCAATTTCTCTTGGCATACTTGTCACATGCAGGAGAATTAGAAACAAGGTGTGTTATAAGCAATGAGAGTGTGGCAAATAAAACTTTGGTGGCAGCAAAAACTGAAACAGCAGTTTTCTTCCACTTTATATACTACGTACAAGAGAAAGGAAGTTCATTCTTCTGCTATTCCATGCATGATTGGTGTCTACCCGGATTGAAATAAACATTCAAATACCCATTTTTACTCCTTGATTTCAGCAGAATAAAAAAAACATAAACTGTGGTCTAAGTACTGGGAAAAGATCTCTGTGTGATTGGCTTGGTGGTCTTCTTAACTCTTTATAAGCAAAAAGTGAATTTCTTACAGACAAATACTATCACCATAGAAACTATTAATAACAATAATATTGATACTTGCTTTAATAAACGTCTATAGATTTGAGGGGTACAGGCAAATTAATTGGAAAAAACCAATGGTTTGAAGGCACGCTTAGGGAAATCACAGCACTAAATATGAGGCCAGCAGTCTGAAATTAAACGTACCTCACATCATGAGATGGCTCTACTTCATGTGGATTTCTGCGATCTGACCAAAACAGCAGCAGTCTGTCTAGTTTAGGCAAAATTTTGACATACTCTTCACCACCACCAGGATACAGCTTTAACATGCCACCTCTCTGCAGAAAGGAACAACAATAAATACATCTTCATACATAGCTTAGCAAAAAGTGTTAGGATTCAGTTCATATTAATCACTTACACAGCTCTAATGTCATTTGTAAACAACCTGTTACCCTTGTAATTCCAAAAAGATAGAGTTAAGGAAAGTGTAAAATGTGATGAGAACCAACTGAACCAAATGGTACACAGGGATAGAAAATTACATGGAAGAGGTTTCCACGAATTAGGATCAAAATAAGGATTTTGTCAAAAGACTGAAGAGTCAGAACCGAGTGCATGTCTCTGCACCTCAGGCTTGGAGTGAAAGGTTAAAACACTATCACACCTTTGATATTGACAAACTATACCATGATAACTAAAAGATGACTTTGGGGTCACTTGATACCTTAAAAACTGATATCATACATGACGACCTCTGAAATACAGGCATCTGTCTAGTGTTTGTCCCTTTAGTCTCTACACTAGTATCATCATTCGTTGAGGTACTAAGAGCTTGCACAAAGGAGCATTCATATAGAGACTGTTCACATATTCAGTGTTTCATATCATAAATTCACTTCTTATCCCATTATCACAAGAATGAAATGTTGAGTACATATAGGACAACAAAATGTTGCTCACCTCTTCTGTCCACCCTGGGTTAAGGTAATATAAAGTTGTTATGCAACGGCCATCCTCATTTGGGTTATCAACATGTCGTTTGTATCCGCTACCCAGACCTGGATAACAGGCAACCATAGCCTTCAAAAAATAAACATATATTGCTATTAGTGAATACTTCTGGACAAAATAAATTGTCCTTTTACATATCATCCATTCTATTGGACAATAATATTATTATTAGAAAATTTATGGGGGGAGGTGGGGAAAAGTACAAAAATTATTTGTGCAAAGGAAAATAGACTGAAAAGATGCCAGAAAATGTTAACGACATCATTCTCCCTACCCCCTCTATAACTTTTCCAGTACTGGCTCCACCCCTCAAGATACAGAAACACTTCTTTTCAGTGTGAACAAAATGTGAAGTGTCAAGATGTTTGTCAAAATACAGGAATTTCAAGTACATTGCGCCACTTATTCTCACTATTCAGACAGCCCCCCACATTAGCTGTGGGCCAAAAGTGCATGGCTGTATCATGGTTTATCGTTATCGTTCATTCTATTGTTATTGTTCATTGTGCTCGACAAAAATAAATGATGAACTGCAGCAGCTATTTTAGGCAGCAGATATCCACTGAACTTTTTCCGAAATGAGCCAAGACACATGCAAATCAAAGGTGTGAAGAAACTGTTAAGTGTTTATCATAGCATGTTGCAACAAAGTAGAGGGAATTGGAGCTTTGCAATCACAAAGCATGAAGTTGTCAGTTAAATTACACGCTCTAAGACAGGAAGGCCACACAGGACCCTACATGCTGTTAACGCTACAAAGGTGTTAACTGAAACATTTCACTAAGCAGCTAATTTTCTTCATGACTAGCTAAAGTCAACAAAGATAGCAGGTCAATATATGAAGAAGCATATTTTTCTGAAGAACACCTTGTTTATGACGATGGAGCACATACATGTATGACCCGAAACACAGAAAATCAAGTTGCAAAGTCCAAAGAGGAATTGCGGTGCTGATGTATAACATACACACACGCCCAAAATCAAAATTTAAAACAAAAGATTTCAAATTTTGAAAATGTATTTTGCTTCGTAAATGGCCAAAACATAAACAGCACCAGCTAAAAGTAATGCCACAGAGCTTTATTCAAATCGTCACACTACTGGATTTTGATCACGAGCTCAAAGTTTGAACCGCATGACATGGGTGGAGCTTTAGGAAAGACGGTGTCTATCAATCTCACAATCTTACATAATAATACAGTTTAATGCAATGTCAGAGGTAAATGATATACTGTGTCATATGTAAATTCTCAAGAACAATCTAGATATTAAAGTTCAGCAAAAATTAAGTTATAATATCTAAAGGCCAAGGCTAGGTATACAAGATGCAATTCAGCTTTAAATATTGCTTTTATAGCAAAAGTGTAGCTATGGCATATTTGAGTCTAATTTTTATTTTGCAAATTTGATCAAAACGCTCTTAGAATTTATAGCAACGACATGGCTACTTAAGGTGAAAGGTAAAAGCAGCAAGGTTCGGAGGAGAGATGATACTACTTGGAACTCCAAACAAAAACTACCTAAAACAATATGTTTTCATCATTCGTCATTTTTCAATTTCTCAATGTTATGGTTCTGACCCTGCAAAAAAACAGCCTTTGTGTACGTGAAGTAACGCACGTCGACGAAAACACAAATCCAGGGGGGAGGGGTGCGTTATTTGTGTCCCCGATGCAGTCTATGTCAACCGAATCGAGAGTTTCTCCTTCCCTTCCAAAATGTATGAATAGATTTTCCTGCCCAAAATTTTATTCAATCATTTATTTGAAAATGGCTTAGCATGCAACATAACGAGTAAATTAATGGTATATTCAAATTAAACACGTCACGGGCGAGGTAGACGGTCGAGGTTTTTCGACGAAACGAATGATTTTGTCGAACCTTCTAATCACAAAAAGAAATAAAAAGTCTCACCTTCGTCCTGTGTTCGATGTCGTATTCTTCAATAAGTGCATTACAATGTCGTATCAGCAAATTTACAGCGTTCATATGATACGAAATTGTCTCACAGTTATCTTCTTTCCCGTCTATCCACGCTATTTTATCGTCCCGTATTTTCTTGTTTAACGTACTGCCGTTGCCATTTGAAGAAACTAACTCTCCGTCGGTGAATTTGTGATCTTGATGCAAGGACTTTACCTCGCTGAGAATTTTCCTGGCAGTGTCATCGCCGTGAAAATCGTCGATATAACAGTAGCCTTTGTCTCTCAAAGTTTCAACAACAGACTTTGCCTGTTGTGTAATACTGTTCTGAACCAAGTCCATGACATTATAACTGTTCATTCCCGTAAAATGCGTTCCTGTTCTTGCAGTTGGCTGTCCCATGCATTTTCTCCTGTGTAATTTCCAGTCATTTTTCCGATGTTCCGTACAACAATAACTCGCTATTCTACAGTGGGAACACGTTAGAGAAGCTTCTTGGTTGCAGTAATCACACAACATTTTCCTTTCGTGCGGGCTCAGACGGGACATCCGCAAATACCCGCCTAAAAACACAGAAAATACAGAACGAAATTAGCAGTTTCACAACTTCAAAAGAAACGCGACATGACATTTTCCCTACCCGGTTCCTAAAAGTCACGTGTCCAAAGAGCCTACACTCCACGTGATCAAAACATAACCTTGGCCAAAACGTGATTTTTGAGAATTCTACATCCGGTTACGACGCAGGTGCATAGACAGAAGGCTAAAAATCCTGTCATTTTCAAGTTAAATAAATGACTTTTTAACCAGAGAATGGAAAAAATTAAAATCTGTGTATCTTCAAAACTTTCTATGAAATTACAATTCTTGATTGAATTATGTAACGAACGTAGTCAACGCACCCGACACGTACAGTCAACATTACATTCCCCGCTCATACGTCAACAAGGTACCCGATCACGCAAACAGAAACTCAGCTCGTGTGAATCCAACTTCACTACTTGTTGGCTCAAGATACTTTTCTAATATTAAAGATATCATTCTTAGTTTAACTGTCACGTTTTTGGTGGTTAGAAGGGCTCTTTAAGCCTTTGTATCTCTCCCCCAACCATTCAGCGCGTTCTTTTGTTCGCCAACACGTCACGGAGATTTGTCGCGGTAATTTATGCGTCGTCTAAAAAAAGTAACAGGAAATACTGCTTTCATCTGTGATGCTTTGTTAAAAAAAGAAGGCGATTGAATATATTACACCTTACAAAAAATATATAGACGAGATTCAATTTTTTAACAAAACAAGAAACAGAATATTACAACCGAGCAAGGGTTTGATAATGGGGGAGATTTTTAAAAAATACAAAAATGAAACAGATTTTCATGGAAGGCATGCACGAGGCAAAGAACAATATTTGGCTACGCATTTTTAAACACTTTCTAGAACATAACTTCCGTGTAAAATCAATTCCAGTGACCGTTATCTATTTTTAATTTAAAACTCTGTCTTTGTTTGTACTCTCTTTTATATACCGTATGGTTCACGGATGACCCGTTTGCCCTAAAAGTTCTAAACTAAGCTTTTGATCCGAATTTAAACCTTGTTTATAGCTATGATAAATGTAGTGATGCACGACTTTGCAGAACTACTACCGTTCTGGCAGTTGGAGTCTCTAAACACAGTTTATAATAAAAGTCGAAAATTAGCCTGTACAGCAAGCGCTCCCATCGAGTTCGCGCGGAAACGATTGCTACACAGGCTGGTCGAAAATTTAATCCTACACTTTTGATCAGAAAACCGACACTCAACGGAAAGTTCAATTTTTTTTCTTTTCCATATTAATTGGCTGAACATTTTGGAATTTACTAAACCAAAGGTCTCTTTGATTTCTCTTCGCGTAAAGACCTTCCTCTTCCTTCCGGATAATTTGTCAAGCTGGCGTGACACAAGTGTGCCCACGCTATCAAGAGGTGGGGTGGTCATGGCCTTGTTTCCTATCCACTATCTGCTACGATGGTTGATTGCAATGGTAAGGCCCTGGAATGAAATCTAAACATACCGTGACGCATCAGATTCAGTATATCGATTCGTTCTCCGCTCTCCTTTCATTGGACATGGGCATTTTTTTTCGAGTGAAAGCAATTTTTCCAAGGCTTAGAGGCAAATCAAACCGAGGACAGGACATTGAAGAATAGAGCAAAAGAAGCAGTTAGTAAAATATTCGAAGCACGAGAAGCGCAACTTTGATTGCCGCCGGTGCAATAAGTATCCAATGCGCCCGCAGTCTTCTCGTGCCCATGTCACTTCCTCCAATGACAAACACTGAAAAACATACTTTGAATATACTCGACATGGTTTAACCATATCGAAGTCTCTATTATGTAAAATTTGGTTCTAATTTCTTTACAGAACAGATAAAGAACTGTTAGATTGGAGTCTCTCTGTGAAAAGTCAACAACTAATTGACTGAATTTGATTTGCTGCACTGAGGAGATCACGAAGCGGCCGCAGCGCTGAAGATTTCCAACTGTTGTATCTTGAAAGAATGATGATAGGCAACTCAATAAAAAAGCTGGCATAGCGGCTTTGGAGAAATAGTTGTTAAGCTTTTACAATTTTGATGACAAAGCGAAAACGCTGTTAGGTTGTACTCATCCGTGAAAATAAAAATACCGGAGTGGTGAGTCTTTTTACTTGTACGACGGGGAGGATAATCTTTTTTTAAAATTAAAGTTAATGAACAGATTCTGGTACAAGATGAAGCAGTCGCAGATTTTAGATTAGTTTGTAGAAGGACATCTGGAAGTGTTACTGGACTATCCAAACAAAACAGGCCGAGAAACTGATGTGCAGTCGCATTTCGCCAAGGAGACTGTTACACATGTAACATCAAATCTAGACAACTGATGTGAGCCTTTGCCTTATAGGAAACGTTATTTGTGGCTCTGAAACAGTATGGTTAATTTCCACTTCATCACGCTAAGCTATTCGCACTGAACTATCCACTGAAGTATTCTTTTACTCTGATCTATCAACTGGAAGGTTCTGAAGGCTCCCCTGATATCGGACAGAGATCCAACTCAGAGAGCGCGAAGTAGTTTTTCTAAGTTACTTCTCTACATTTTACATCTGATTTACCACTTTTCTCAGAATGAAAAAGTGCGGGGTTGAAACTGAAAAACAACTAAGTTTCTGTTGCTGCGACTTTTGTAAAGCCTGTGGTGCGTCTAACTTGACCGAGATGACCATTCAAATGATTTCGATAACTAGGCAGTACTTTCCGTGCATTCGTTTGTTTTGAAAGTTAGACTTTGCACAATTCTAAGCTATGATCGAATTCTTTCCATTGCAAGACCATTAGAAAGAGAGAAACTCCGTGTTTAAATAGATTACTCGTCATCAGGACACATCTAAACAAAATCTCGAGTAGGAGTTTCATTAGTTTCTCCGCTTGTCAAGTGAAAAGAAAAAGGAAATGGATTGTTTCTGTTATGGTATTGACGTTTATACTAATAGCACAGAACAGATTCTTTAAAATTCATCCCGCGTCATGTCACTGGACACAACCGCAAGAGTTTGACGACATGCGAAGGACCACGCTTTCCATTAAAAGGAGGAATGTCTTCACAAAACATGTACCAGTGGTAGAATCTGATGATTTTGTGAACGTTTTGAATATCATTAGCTGTGGAAAATCTTTCAGAATGAAATCCCTTATCTAAAAATCGTAGCCGCCGATATTGAAGTCCAACCTTTTACGGTAGCTATGGGAGGGGTAAGGCTTTTTGTTTACAGTCAAATGTAGCTGACACGAAATCAAATAAGCCGACTAAGAATACTGACAAAGTTAACGCAACTTTGATCGATTTGAGTTTATGCCGGAATAAATTTGATTTGCCCATAACTTATTCTTTCCGTAAAATTCATCAGAGGAGAGCGGATTCTAGGTTTGTACTACTTTGAGCTACTTCATGTCAAAAGACTCAAAACTTTCTGTTTGGTTGCCGACTGCAACAGGTACGCTAATGGCGACTGATTCCCGTTTGATCGTTCGCTAACCAGCACAGAGGCAGAAGTCATCAGTAGTGAATAAAACTTTTTGTTAGGACTTCGTTGCGATATTCAAGTTAAAATTCATAACAGCACAAATCATTCAAACCTTATCGTGCTTACCGGCAGACATCTTTGCTTGAAGGTAAAGTTGTGAAAAATATTTTCGACGGTCAAAAATTCGTGGTTCTCTAAGAGAAATTTTTGAACCAAAGAGACCCACACTTGGTCCTCCCATGTTGTTGTGTTGAAATAAAAGTTTGGCGTACATGTTGGCTTTAAACGAAGAGAACGAGCTTTGTGTTTGGTTGAATTCTCGAGGTTTTGAATAACACGTCCATGAATTCACGACTTTTGTAAGTACACACTTCCTACAAGCGCTGGACTGGGCACGAGAAGACGCGCGCGACATGTAGAGTTGCACGAAAGTGAGCGCGGGAACCCCACGTACGTGAAGACATTTAAACCCCACGATAAATATTCGAAATGAACGGAGTTTTTATTATATACGATAAAAATTGTATTTCTTTTTTTATGCTACACAGCAAAGAATAAGTGCAATGTTGATTAGCGGCTTTATAATTAAACATAAGTATAAGAAAACAGGCCGAAAATCACGTGTTCAATTCTCTTTTGTCACGTTTTGCGGTTCATGGTCAATAGTGACTCGCTTACAAAAAGGTCTCAATGCGAATGAAATTTTTGGATAAAGAGGAAATCATGTTACCCCCAAAGATTGTTGTAGTTATGATAACATAAAAAAAATCTCGAGAATAAGGAAAGAAACCATTTTAAACGCTTCGTTTTTCAAAAACTTCACCCAAAAGCTTGCGTGTCAGGTAAAAATTAAAATAAAACAAATAAATTTCAACAAAAATCGAAATCTTCCTTTATCTAAGCATGGTTTCAATGAAAGAAGTTTTAAATTCAGCAACATGATTGTAAGCTGTTAAAGTTAGAAAGTACCACAAAAACGAGCTGTTATAGAAGGTTACCGGCATGCGGAAAGACACGTCTAACTTGATGGTCGCGGGGTTTGGTTCAGGACATTGTTCGTTTTTCATTTCTTGTACCAACGACTTATCAGCAACACCGTGAAAAAGCTCATGGACTCTCATTTGTGTAGTAGATAATATTAAAAACTCACTCGTCGATCGAGGAACTCTAGTGCACAAAAAGCCGCGATATTCATCAAACCGGAGTCAGTTGCTAAGCAGGGGGCAAAACTGATAAACGACCCGTTTCTTTAAAAGCTTTTTAATACAATTCACATTGGGTAGGAAATGACATGTTTTGACACTCAGTCTAAATGAAACGGTCGTTATGAATGGCCTTCCTCCATCATTATTGTCTTCTAAGATGTCATTTTATGAAAAACGAAAACGTTATTATATTCAGGAAGTTTTCTCAAATTGTTAATCTTTATAGGAGAGCAAGATGATGTGTGTACTTTAGATTTATTAAGTGAAGCCAGGGGTACCCAAGCCTATTTTTCTGCGGAAATGTTATTTGAATGATACACTGTTCGAGTCGAACTACTAGTGAGATCCGTGAAATAAGCCTCGTCCAATTCAAAAGCCGCTGTCGACTAGCGTCTTGTACGAGTGTTTCTACTAGACAAGTCTAAGTATGGGGATGAAGACATTACTGTGTCTATTGGAGGGAATAGTGTAGAGAAAACGTTTTTTTGGTTTCCTTAAAAGCTGTTTCATATAACTCCGTGCAAAGTGGTTCCTCTTAACAATATAGGTGATACCCTTATCGCGATGTTCAAGTCGGTTCGCGACTTTTGAATGACCATGAAGTGTAACAGTGAAAACTAGACTTATTTCGCTGTTTGTTTTCAACGAATGAAAATACATTTATTAATTAGTATCTGAAGACATTCCTTATGGTTTTCAATTGGCAGTGTTCACAAACTCAGATTTAAGTTTTACGCCTAGTTTTCTGTAAAACTGAGTTAACCGACTCAGTGTTCATTCAAAACGACAACAGTCCAGCAATACAACACAGCAACCGGGTTGTCAAAGGGGTGTGGCGGCTAACTCTCGTGGAATCTTCTCGAAAACGCCCCCCAAAAATCCGGCGAGAACAGGAAACAGAGTCTCTTGACCGTCGAGGACTCATTTATCTATGTCATTTTCTCATGGTGGCATCTTCCTTTTCTGGTGGGTGTGGAGTCTTCGTATGTAAATCAGTGGCCACGCTACCCAGTTCAGGTTCAAGTTCGGTAGTTCGAATGGAACCATGAACACTAGTTCATGTAAATTCAGTAAATTTATTAAATCAGATTTACTACAAAGATTTAAGTTCTGCAACCACGTACCAGACTGAAGAGCTTGTGTTCTCAAGCTGCCCTGTTTAATTTAAACTCGCTGTGTTTGAGTAAAAACATTTGGTTAATATAGAAAGCTGATTTGATTTCAAGGTTATCCGACTTGCTGGAACAAGTCTTGTCCTTGATTAAATGGATATATTATTAATCGCTTTGAGCTCCACTGAACTTCAGGAGACAAAATTTCACCCGCCAAAACAAAGGAATGAGGTATAGGAGGTCGTTTTAAGGTAGATCAGTTATAAACACGTTTTCTGATCATATCAATAAAGTTGAACAGTGATGGCCCTATTGGGTTCGTCATTTGTCTGAGCTTAGAAAATTCGTACTGTCACTTTACGTGCTACAAACACGATCGAAACTGCTGTGATTCCGTTTCTTCACGTGTTTTGCCTATGTGCTAAGAGCTTTGCGTGTTGTGGTTTGATGTTAACTACCGCATATTTGAGTGACCGTTTCGTGTGAATAGTCACGTCCCTTCGCCTGGTTGATCCTGTCAAACAGCTTTCCTCTGGAAACTGGGGGGAAAAAATGGCGCCGAATAAAACAAACGTTTTTCAAACATTTCAAAATCCGATTTAATACATTCTGCTTGATTTCCCTCGATTTCTACATGAGTTGAAGGTTATAAACTTCGAAATGAAGTAGATGTTGCCGTTTTCGGGACCTTATTGAATTAGTTGTTACAAGAGAAAAACCACAAGGGTAAAAACTGTCCTTACTTAACGCCAACCCCCAAGTGAGGAGAGCATTTGCTAAGAAAAATAATTGAAATGACTGCCAACGATAAGAAGTTCAAACATTCCAGGAAGTTGAATAGGAGAAAACTAGGAAAACAAGTATCACCTTTCATTTTGCCAACTCATAGTAAATAATGAGAGACAAACGGTGCTTCAGAGAAGTACAAGCTTGCCATCTTCCACAGTCTTAGTACTGAGTCTTACTACTCACAGACTTATAAGTTGGAACTATGGCCTTGTCCGGCACAATAAACAGCCTGCGACGCATTCTCAAAGTTCTGTATTTTTTTGCTGTTTTGTTTGGGCATGGAATCTCTCCCGACCTCGTCGCTCAATCAGTCAGTGCACTACCTCATTAAAGCTCGCCTCGGCGCTCGCTTTTTAGACTTCTCTCGATCAATTAAGGATGGAGGGATTGATCATTTAGGGCTCTACTCTTAATCGAGGATCGCAGGCCTTTTTGGGACGAAGCAGTCTAAATAAACAGTACCACAGGAGAGTACTGCTCAGTAGCTTCCATTTAAAACGACCTTGTAGCACGGGAAACAACCGAACGGCAGCTTACAATTGAAAAGTCCAACTTTAGGATTTCATCCACAGGCTAACTGTGACTAAAGAAATAGTCCCATTTTAGAATTTCATTCACGGGCTACCACAGGAAAATACGGCCCAGTGGTTACCGTTTGAATGGTCACATTTTAGGCTTTCATTCGAAGATCGACAACTGATCAGTAGGTTGCCAGAGTCACGTGCTGAAAAATTGTAGAAACCACATTTTTCTTTAGCAAAATATCGCCTCCAAATGTTGTGAAGGATCGGAACATTTGACCTTCGAGGGAATAAAAATTAGTGTTCTTAGGGCCAAAAAGAAGTCAGTTCAAATTCTAAGAATACATATGGCATACTAAAATTTAGTTCAAGGGCTGAAAAAGTTGACGAAAAGACCCAAAAGGGCTAAGAAAAGCCTGTTAAGCTTTCTTGTTATCTTCTGAAAAGGCAGTAAATTTCATATATATATGGCGGGAAAATGGAAGATCGCTGTAACGTTTCGCGTTGTCCTGAACAATTTTAGTGAATTGTCCTGGTGTCCATGTTGTAGTCACAACCTTCACTTTGTTTAGCACTTCAAAGGTTTAGCAGAGCTTATGTCCCACATTAGTGACACCTTAATCAACGTTTCCGTCATAGTCCAAACAGTGTCAGTAACAAGCATTTTATTTTAATAACAAAAAACAAGAAACCTTGCCCTTTGAGCTTAACGATTGAATATTCAACTTCAAATTTTCACTTGTGGTTCTACTTCCTTGATACGATTCGCAACTTTTGCAATTTATTCATAACTGCGTCTGTTGCTTAAAGTACTGGTTTTGTCTGCCTTTTAAATTCAAAATTGGTGAAGACAGGAAAATGAACGTCCTGTTTAACGACGTGACTTGTACTGCGAATTGAAAGCACGTTTTCGAAGGAGTAGGCGTCAATTCCTCACTTAGCAAATATCACGAACCTTGTTTTTTCGTTTTCCAACGTTTTATTAAGACAAACGAAAATTATCCTGTCGTAACTGAACTTCAATGACTATGTTCTGAGCGAAAATTATGTCTGGTTCGGTGCTTGGAAAAGCTAAAACTAGAGTCTGCACTGAACTTTCTTCTACTTGTTTTAATTACGTAATTCTTGGGGTATCTACCGCACGGTGAGAGTGCGCGGCGGAGTATGAATAGTTCTGATGTGTAATTCAGGCGTTTATTCGCCACCAGAAACCGATAAGATTATAAAACAGTAAACGTATTACAATTTCTCAATATAAATCAAGCGGAGAGACCTGTTCTACGCAAGAAGAAACTTACCGGCACGGAGTCTTGCTCGGAGAAAAAGCTGAGACAAATTTTGCTTCCGCTGTTCGTAGGAAAATGGCAGTGGTCTTAAAACTAAACTTCGCCTTCTAGAATCAGCGGCCCATTGATTCAGCCTTGCCGCTGTATTTCTTTTAAAAAGTATCTTGGGATACATGCTGGAATAAGTTCGAGTGCTCCGATGTTTCTCGATGTTCTGTCCAACTGGAAAATCATCCATGATCTTCCCTCGTTTTGTGTTGACAAAATTCTGGCCGAGAGAGACTGGAAAGAGCTAATTCAAAAGTGGGACATGAGACGCTGCACGATTAACTTCAGTGGAAAGACAGCGGCAGTCAAGCGGGGCCTTTGTTGTTTCCTTTTGTTAAGATTTGTAAGAATCTACTCATTATGTATTTTTAGCTGCTGTAAAAAAAACTAACAATATTCTGTTTCTCTTAAGTTCTTCTGAGTGTGAAATTTTGGATTGATGCGAGGAAGTGAGAACAAACAACGTGAACCCAGCCATGTTTGTGAGAGTTGAATTTGTGGGTTATTATTTCTTAATAATTTCTAGACAAAGGGATGTCACATTCGGACAGCTCAACACATCGGATCAAGATATTGTATTCAAATATGAAAACATCTTACTGATAGGTAATAATTTTATGCAGGGTACATTCTTATATTTTCATTTTCTGCGGGCATAAGTCAGGCTTAATATTTTTAATTAATTGACCAAACCTCTCGGCGTAGTGAGCTTGGAGCAAGCATGTGAAACTCACTTTAATTTTGGTTCAGGTCATTTGTAGGGTCAAAATAATGGAATAGTATTTACTCCAAAGTAGAGAGATTACAACGCTAAGTCCCCTTGTACAAACGAGGAAAAGAAACGCTATACGATAAAACTGTAATGAAAAACATTTTGACAATTCAGGTTACCGCGTTTTCGCGCGTTGGTTTGTTAGAACATGAACAAAAACACGTACGGTCGCCGTCACGTGGTCACAATTTCGTTTTCCAAACTAATGGGGTCGGTCATACCTTTGAAACTTCTACTGGCAATCAAAAAGGCAGTTTCACTACCCTTTGGCTCCAAAAATAAGTAGAAACACTGTGTTGATATTAAGATGATGACCAGATTACATTCCCAGCTCTAGATCCAGTCATTTGCGAGAGACGCCACACTTTAAAAAGCTAGAAGAAGCCTTGCTGGTATAAAAGCGGGGCTATATGGTAAAAGGTTAACGATTTTCAAAGCTGGCTTATCGTTTTATTGTTTACCCTATATTTATACAAAGGGAAAAATTATAAACAGCTAACACCTATAGTTTCGGTTGCTTGAGTTCATGCACTAAACGAAATGTGACTTTTTAGGTCACCAAACGAAGCACTTTTCCCTATATACGGTTAGATGCTCGGAAATAATGAAAACGGAAAGAAACAACACGCCACTCAAAATTCCTCAAGCCAGCGACAACATGACATGTGGAAGTCTGCCCCCGCGCTCTTTGGTCCTTCCTTGCAACGCGGTACCACACTATGAATTGAGGGTTTGGAAAAAATTATCGGGGGAAAGGGAATCTAGTTGTTTGAAGCTCACCTGTTTCGTGCGTTTTTAGCGTTATTTCACTTTTGTCGACCTCATTATTTTGCTGCAGAGGTCGAAAGACTTCCAGTGTTGGTAAACAAGACATTCGTTGACATGCGCAGTATAAAGCGTTGCCTGCTGGATACGAAGATTAACCAAAGAAAGCGGAATATATTCAAAGTATTTTAAACTCATATATAAGTTTTAATATTACCGAAATGTAGAGTCTTTTGTCTGGTTTATTATAAAAACATGTAATTACTGAATGCAAGCACTGTACAAATCATTCTTTTTAGTCAAGTTTTTGGCTTCAAATTACTGTCAATCAACAGAATTTCTCGCTGTAGAAAGAAATGGAGAGTCGTGCGATTACTCACGCAGAGATGAAGCGGCTTTTTTACCGGCTCCAAATAATAAAACTACTGTCTAAGTTTACCGGCTCAATAACTTGAAAAGAAAATGATTGATGTTGAGCCCAGCTGTATTGAAAGGGTCGCAAACACTCAAGTCAACAAAAAACCGTCTTGGCCTATTAACCACTTTGTTGGTGTGTCAACTGTGTCTGGGCAAATCTAGCAAAGTCATGGTCAAGACGCAGTTTTGTCTAAAAACTGATTGGAATTTTTAATGAAACCTACAAGTGCTACACTTAGTTTTGTTGTTCGATTGATTAAAGTGAAAAGTATTGAGCAATTTGTGAGTGCTAGTCAATATCAAAATAATTCAACGAAGTGTGACCGATGAAATGTACGAAATAAAAACGCGATGGGAAGAAATTTGCTGTGTTCCTATGTACTGAACAAAAGTTTACATATGTACAGTGAGCAAAATTGAACAGTCACTGAGTATTTCTGCATAATACGGTTAAACTGATACACATGTCACTTGCTTTTTCCTGTATCGAAACATCTGAATGTAACCTAATTTTAGTTTGTTATTTATAGCAATCCTATTGTATAGGAGATATTTGGCGTACAAAGACAACACAAGGTCGGGGCCAACACTTTCCAACTTCACGTGTAACTAAAGGTTTAGGAACCATATTTGATAATTACTTTACTCTCAATGAGCCCAAAGTCAATATCAAGACAAATCCATTCTTTTATAATCAAAAGGTACCGAAACTATGACACATAGTGCCGGGAGAAAGCACTACTGAAATGGTTTCATTTGAATTGTCGAAAAATGAAAAATTAGTTACATTTTATGTCTTGCGTTTTCCTGATTAATCTAAGAGGAGGGGGGTGGGGGGCGGTGGAGAGGGGATTCCCATATATTTAACATATACAGATATATAGGTGTCAATGTGCTAGTTGCAGTCCTTATCAGAGTCCTTATTACTAAATAAGTTATTCTTTCTGGTATTGTGGTCTTTTCATACGGTGCCCAAAAGCACAGGACCTAAACCACGGTAAAAACTTTGTAACTGACTTCCTCTTAACGTACCACAAACCTTTTAAGCCCCAATATCCACATACAAATTCTCCAAACTGATCTCTACACATTTCCCTAAAGAATTAGGTGAAAGAATTTGATCAAACATCAAAGATTTTTTCTCATTGAGATCATTTTATTAATTCTCATAGACTTTGCTCTTGACAATCTGAGGAAAACGTGAGGAGAAAATTGATGTTGGTCACTATTGGAACTTAACGGTTAAAGAATTCGAGTGCACTTTGTGAATGAAGTCCTTTTAAAATTCTTTTCTCCGCTTTCCCTTAAATGGGGTGTAATTACGGAGGTTCATCATGGCTCATGGTGAAGTTTGATCGACGCTGTCCGTCCGCGGGGCAGGGGGTCGACTGCAATGAAACTTTCAAAAATTTAAGGTGGCTCTGAGCAAACTCCTATGAATTATGTTTTTACCTGTTGTTGTTTTGGTTTATGAAATGCGGTGGAAACAGGGTCCACAAACTCACGGTATCAAACTTTGCCCTGAATTTAAAAATTATGTCTTTGCTTTGTAACCTATAATGTCAAAACGTCTTTCGTCTTATTGTCAATGAAGAGGCTTGTAGTATCGACTGGGATAACTTTAGATAAACAGCATTGACTCATCAAAGTATACTTGCTTGGAAATGTAAGGACAGTTAACGATTTCACTCAGAAAAGTGCCAGAATCTCGCATTCAATCAAAACATTCCAATTTTCAATGTGTAAAATACTAATGCCAAGCTGTCACCACAGGTAGCCCAAGCTCACTATGAGACTCCTGAACAACATTATCCTACTTAGCTAATTAATTATTCATACAGCAAGAAGATTATAAGACGTTGTATGGAGAAATATTCTTTGCTCACTAAATTAGCAAAATGTACATTGAATATCGCTTTGAAGCTTACCTTTAGCGTCTTCTTGTTTTTCTTTGTATTCTGACTGCATTTCAGCCCTCCTAGGCACTGTTTAAGGCCTTTTTTGAGCGACAGTTTCTACCGTCATGTGGTTAAAAAACTGTCGCTCAAAAAAGGCCTTAAACAGTGCCTAGGAGGGCTGAAATGCAGTCAGAATACAAAGAAAAACAAGAAGACGCTAAAGGTAAGCTTCAAAGCGATATTCAATGTACCTTTTGCTAATTTAGTGAGCAAAGAATGTTTCTCCATACAACGTCTTATAATTTTCTTGCTGTATGAATAATTAATTAGCTAAGTAGGATAATGTTGTTGAGGGCTCTCATAGTGAGCTTGGGCTGCCTGTGCTGTCACTTGAATGGTCACAGTTTGAGATTTTGTTCACGGAGTTAAAAGGTAGAACAGCATAATAAACAGTACCACAGGAAAACTACTACTCATTTCATTTGAATGATCACACCGTAGTCGACCTTAGGATCTCTTACACGGACTCAAAGTTAGAATCACCTTTACAGCATTAAAAAAAATAGCACCAAAGAAAAATACTGCTCGGTAGTTTCATTTCTGTTTTCATTTCATCCATTACGAGCTTGCTATTAGAGAGGGTCCTCAATAGGTTTTACGGGATTCGGGATTTCCCTTATTTGAAGCTGGGGATTCGGGATTTAAGAGCAAAATCGAGGCGAGATTCGGGATTGAAATTATCTGGGCGAGTTAGAATGCCCGAAATGACCCTCGGGATTACGGGATTGCACGAAATTTTAAGTCGGGATTACGGGATTGAAGGGCCCTATACCTACTGGGGACCCTCATTAGAAGCCGACAAGCTAGGAAAACAAAATAATATACACCTTAGTGTGTTTGTGACGTAATTTCACTTGCCTCAATCAAGTGCCTGTTGAGTATTTGACGTCAGGCATGTGTTTGCCTTTAAAAATACGTCCACAGTTATGTATATATAATGCGAGTTTTCAAACTTTTGATCTGAATCTTTCTAATAACCATTCAAAGAGCTAAAATCCTGGCAGAAAACTAAATGAATAAAACCAACCTTTAGAAAACTACTATGGATATACAACATAATTCCATGATTTTATAGCAATGTATTATTGTTGTTACTATTGAGACGCTTTCTTGACATTACTTTCGAGACTATGTTTTCTAAACGTGATTCCTAACACATTTTTCTTACGTGCGCTCTAACACGTTTATAGTAACTTATAAAGCTCGAATTGTTTCAAGGTCTTTGTGTTCAAAACTGTGCAGTCCCTGAAACCATCGTTTGTGTGGCAAGAAGAAAAA